TCCCATCCTCCTAGCCGCCAGTTACCCCCATACTTTTCCTCTTAATGATGATTTCAATCATCATTATTACCTATCAAAATTAGCCTACCTAATTTGGGGAAATGATTAAATCTATTTGAAATTCAAATACCTTCCTAAAATTAACTAGGCTAAATTAGAAAAGTTCCTAAATTTAAGTCTAATTTGATTTTAAATTAAATTTGATTTAATTAACCTTTTCCTAATTTAGAATCATGATTTAAGAAGTTTTATATTCCCTCCCAATTCCCCCCGTCTCTCCACAAATCTCATCTTGCATTCAAAGCCCTTCCTATTTTGGCCTTCTTAATCTGGTAACAAATTTGAATTCAAAATTCAAACAATTTTAAATTTGAATTTGTTTCCTAAATAATAATCTCTATCTTAGGAAAGTTACTTAAATTAGATCTAATTAAATTTCTAGTTAACTAGATTTAAATTAATTTTCCTAATTAATAAATATCTTTTAGGAAACTTCCAAAATCTCTCAAATTTGAAATTAAAATCAGATTTAATTCCCTATTCACATTTATTGCTTGGGTCCACATACATTGTATGTGGACACTTCTCCTCCCTCCCCATATGGCCGGTCCCCCTTATTCTCTTCTCTTCTTTATTTTAATTAATTCCTTCACAAAATTGGAACTCAATTTAAGGGATTAATTAACTAATCTCTTCCCTCTCTTTTCCAATTAATTTGAAACTTCAAATTCACATGACCCCTCCCCTCCTGTTCTACACATCACAATGAAAGCTGAAAATGAAATTGGAGGAGTTTCATCGATAGGCTTGGCCTTTTTCACATTAGTGACTCAGGTATAGAAAGCAAATAAAGGATCACCTAAGACTGCAATGTTCCAAGCAGTGGAGACGACTTCCAGGAAGTTAGGACATAAGCTCTAATAGTTCTTATTATGGAATATGGGTTTAAGGTTAGGAAAAGGACTCACATAAACAAAATTGAGAGAATGATCACAGGACTGAGGAGGAAGAACTTACAAGTGGGTGGAGCAGCCAATGACTATTATAAAAAATCCTATCCATTGGATAAAGAATGGGAGAAATATGGTTAATGGGTGAGCCATCTAAGAGTGAGAAAAATAGTAGGACTAGGCCAGCATTAAGAATGCAAGAGTTGATTAGATAATTTGCTAGAGATGGGACTCTTTCCACCAGCTTTCTTCTTTTAAACATTAGACAACTAAAATCACTAAAAAATGGCCACAAAACACTTATAGAGGAGCGAAATCAGTAATAAATTTTCACAAATCTCTCCTCTCATTAGCACCATTTTTAGCCTAAATGAAGGAGATGAAAACACTTGATAGAAATGGATCCCTTCCTTCGTTATTCAATAACTCGTTATATATCCATTATTTCTTGCAACGTCAGAGGTTTGCACGTAGACATTCCTGTCTCGAAGTGTAGGAATCTGGTCAAAGATCTAATATTGATATTATATGTCTTATGGAAACCAAAGTTTCTCCTTCCATCTTTTGGATCCTTTTGTTCCAAGAATTTCAGCAATGAGGGCAATTGTAACAACTTTCAGGTCTACTCTGGTGGTTGTATTTGATCAAATGGGACTCTTCTAAGGTTGCTTTCAGGGCTTTTGTGCTTTTCATCCACAATATTTTCGTGGCTAGCTGGGGTAATTTTCATCATAGCTCATTTCTTTTCTTTCTTGTTTAGGTATTGCATCCCTATGTTCTTTTTCAAAGATATTTCTATGTTTTAGACAATCCATTCCCTTTCCTAGTGCTCGAATAGGGTAATTGATCAGGCCAATTGTTTCTGTCCAAATTAACTGTATTTTAACTTATTTGTGCTTGGAAAAATAAAATTCCTGTCCCATATAACTAAAGTTCAATCTTTGTTTAGAAAGGATCTACAAAAAGTTTATGAGAGGGAAGATAAATAGCATGTTGAGCAGGCAGGCGTATATTTTAAAGTTTAAATTTTGCTTTCAGGACATGGTAGCATATGCCCAAAAATTCAGTATTCCAATTAATTTTCATGTCTCGTTTTATTTGCTTTGTGTAAAGTTTAAAAGTTTCTTTTTTATGTATGAACATCTCATGAAGGATATCATCTTGTAAGGTTTTTTGAAAAGATTGTACCGGATAATGGTTTTCCCACTGCATGTTGTCTGGTTGCAAGTTACTTTTTTGTTGTCTTTGTATTAGATGTTTTATGGGGCAAGTTGCTGACATGGAATATTGAAAAACCAAGTTATTTTAACCTTTATTGTATTTTTTTTCTTCCATGTTTGAAATATACTACAAAAACTATATGAAGCCTTTATCCCACTATGTGGGGTCGGCGAAATGAATCTTTTTTCTCCATTGTACCTTGTTAAAAGTTAAATTCTCATTTAAATCTAATAAAAAAAAGTCATTTCTAATATTTTCTAACCAAGTCTTTTTAGGTCTACATCTATCTTTCTTAACATAAGTCAAATCTATTATATATACTTTCCTAGTCGGGTCATCGGAAGGCCGACATTTTATGTGACCAAACCATCTAAGGCGACTCTCTCTAATCTTATCTTCCACTGGAGCTACTCCAACCTTTTTACATATATGCTCATTTCGTATCATATCTTTAACAGTAAATCCACTCATCCACTTGAGCATCCCATCTTTACAACACTTAACTTAATATTATGCTTCTCTTTTAATGGCCAACATTCTGCACCATAAAGCATTACAGGTCTAACCATCATCTTATAAAAATTTTCCTTAAGTTTGAGGGGACTTTTTTATCACACAACAAACCCGATGCATTCCTCCACTTCAACCATTCAACTTGAATTTTACTAATAATATCCCCATCTATTTCACCATCATTTTGAACAATAGACCCAAGATATTTAAAATGTATACTTTTATTAATGACTTGATCACCCAAAGTCACAATCACTCCATTAGAACTATTATTTACTAAAATTACACTCCATATATTCAATTTTAGATCTACTCAAACGAAAGCCTTTAGACTTTAAGGTTGACCTTCATAATTCAAGTTCACCTTCAACTCCCTCTTTAGTCTTATCAGCAAGAAAAATATCATCAGCAAAAAGCATACACCAGGGAACAACCTCTCGCAAATGTGGTGGGGGCAAGAAATATAGGGATCCTATACCCCTCGCCCACACAAAAGAGATGAGCACCCGGACACCCGCTAACACGATAAAATAGACGATAATTCTATGACGACGAGCAAACTCTTACATTTCAATTTAAAGACAGAAAAGAAATTAAAAATTATAAACGACGACGACTTGCAAACTTAAAATTAAAGACGACACCCTAAAGTTGCTGCACTTGGAAGAAAGATACAGATGGAGTGGCACTTGCGGAGAGACGAAAGAGGTTAGAAGCTGAGACGAAAGGTTGGAAAGAGCTCGCAAGATTTCCGGAGGGGATGAGAAAGAAGACGGACAAAGCTCGCAAGCTTTTCCAAGAAACCCGCAGGTTTACTTTTCCAAAAATAACATATCATTCAACTATTTTAAAACAATACATAACCCCCCATATTTATAGGTATGAAAGGGGAATACAAAAAGTCACATAACATTAATTTCCACAAGACCCTAAGCACCACAAGCACGGAAATCCCTCCCATGCTTCACGGAAAACAACCCAAACCCAGGAACCGAAGGAGCAGCCGCGGGAGACAAGGAGGCCGCACGGAACCAAGGCGCCACATCTACGGGAAACCACCCAGGCTCGGAAAACCAGCAGCCGACCGGAAATCCAAGGGGCAAAGGCACAAAAAACAAAGGAGCCACACATGGGAAACAACACTTCTTGGAATTCCAAAAGCCGGTTTGGAATTCCAAGAGACAAACATAAATAAAACATAAAAAAAGTAAAGATTACATAAATAAAAAGATAACTATGAACTAAAATGTTAGCTAATAATGAGCTAACCCTTAGTTCAATAAGTGAACTAAAGACCAGCTCATAAATGAGCTAAAATTTCAACTCAATTTGATTGAGCTTGTAGACTTGAGGGAGGCCAAAATTGATTTATTTTGGACATGAGTTGACCCCCCCTTTATCTACATCAAAATGTTTAGTGAGAACATCCATGACTAAAGCAAAAATATATTGGCTTAAGGCTGATCCTTGATTTAATCCAACTCAAATAGGAAAATACTTGGTCAAACCACCTTGTGTCTGAACACAAAGCTCATGCATACATATCCTTAATGACTTGAATAAAAGCATTATTAACCCCTTTCTTTTCTAGAACTCTCCATAACAATTCTTTTGAAACTTTCTCATATGCTTTATCTAAATCAATAAATATCATATGTAGATCCTCCTTATTCTCTCTATACTTCTCTATCAAACTTCTCAATAAATGTATAGCTTCTATTGTAGACCTACCCAACATGAATCCTTTGAGAAATGTTAGTATCACACCGCAACCTATGCTCCACAATCTCTCCTATATTTTTAAAGTATGACGCATAAACTTAATTCCTCTCTCATATTTTTCTTCCATGTTTGAAAAATACAACAACAACGTCAAGCCTTTCCATGTTTGAAATATAATCAATTAAAAAACCTGTAGATTTACTAGCTTTTAATTTTTTTAAATACTTTCAGCTGAATAAGGAATCATAATCATTGTTAACTTATCATCGCTATATAACTTTATAGTGAATAAATATGAATCCGATCTGCTTGATTTTTTTGTGCTAGCTTATCCCCACATAGTAGGGATAATACATTCTGATACTGGTGATGATAATTTTTTTACATCAACTGCTTGATGCATGAAATTAAGCTTTGGTTACATTGATTATGTTGAACTTTAAATTAGCAGAAGATAGAATCATAAATTCGAACGGTGATATTAAGTCCAGACTACACATGCTAGATATTGGTTTTATGCTTTATGTTTTTTGTTCTTTGTTGACTGCTATGTTAATCTTCACTATTTATATTTTTTTTGGCTCTCTTGAGCAGTTCAAACAAGCTCTCTGTGGAAGTTAAGAAAAGGGGTGGTGGATTTACGAAATTGTGTAGCCTTTCCCCGCTGCTTCAAGAGTTTGTTGGCGTGCCTGAGTTGGCAAGAACTGAGGTAATACCGTGCTGAAATAACATATTTATCTTACATATAAAATTCCATTCACATCAGTTGATTTTAATATATATATATATGTATAATTTTTTTCTGTCTTTAATCTTGAGCGATATTTCTTATTTTACTGTTTAAAGGTGGTCAAGAGACTATGGGGCTATATACGTGAAAACAATTTGCAAGATCCAAGCAATAAGAGAAAGATTATATGTGACGAGAGATTGCAAACCCTTTTCAAAGTTAATATGATTGACATGTTTCAAATGAATAAGGCTTTGACAAATCATATCTGGCCTTTATCTTCGGAAAGTGGTTAGGCCTCATAACTATCCTCTTTCCAATATCTGTTGCGGCACGAAGTTTGGTTTACCTCACTTTAAAATCCATAGATTCTCCATGCACCTATTTGCTTCAACTTGAGTTGCTTACCTTAATAGTGCTCATCTTATAAAGTTGCATTTCTGTGTCATTAAAAAACTATTCATCTTATAAAAATTCTTTTGCTAAGCATTCAATGTAATAAAAATGATTTTATCTTGCATGCTGCTTGTTCAGAATATTTAATTTTATAATTTTAAATTCCTGATAAAGTTCAGTCCAGGATTTGTTTGGTGATGTTTTTCTTCCTTGTTGATTAGAAATCATTATTGGAATTCACTCCTTCACAGCTTCATGACTACATAGAATGCACTTGGCCCCATCTATATGAGAGTAGGGGCAACCTAATTTTGCACATAATGGTGTTATCGGATGTAGCTTAATGTTATAAGATGTTTATATGTATTGGAAACATGGCGAGAGGTAGAAAAATATTCAAATATTAGCGTGGGTTAAAAGACTCGCTTGCCAGCATTTTATGCATTATGCACTGCCAGGACAATCTCTCTCTCATTTAGTGGCAATGTAATGTAAACTTGCAAAAAAATTGGAGGTGTCTATAGGTGATTATGTGCATTTAAGAATGTTTCAGATACAGCAAAAGAGGGTTTTTTATATGTTGAGTATAATTGCAATCTCTCTCTCTCTGTCATTTTATTATATAGTCTGCAGATTTACAACTATTGTGGTTATTAACCTAGCTGCAGAAAGGTGCAAAAGATACGAGGAACTTTAAAAGCTAGGAAAATGCTGACCATGCAATAATGATAACAGCTTGGCATCAATCATCTATTATTTCATCATTGAATGTGGCTTCGCCAACTCATAACTTTCTCAAAGTGGGACATGATTATTTTATTAATTATGATGTCGAATTTAATGCCATGCCATCATAAATGTCCACCTTATTGTAATCGACATACCCGTTCTATATAAAGGGTTGTAGGGGGGAAGATGGTTTCAACTGTTCTTAGAGCGAGAGGGAGTTCTTATAGCCTATTGGGTAGCTCAGGCATCAGTGTGAAACTTTATGGAGTTAGAGAGTTAGAGAGAGGCGATTCAATGAAACCTTATCTTCTTCTTTGTATTTTGATGAGTTCTCCTATTAATGAAGATTGTATTTTTTTTTTGCTCAAGAACTAATAATTCAAATTATCAGTCTTACTCTATTGACGCCTAGTTGATGTGTTTGTTAGATCTTATTTTTTTCTGTATCATATTGTTGGTAGCGTATCAAGTTTTAGCATTGGAAGGGTGCATGGTGTTGATGAACAACTATAAGAAGAAAAGAACCATTCTTGGCCCTAGACACTTAAGAAAAAGTTTAGGGGAAATGGAGATGCCAACATCACTAGGAGAAATTTTTAACAACCAAATTGCACTGCTTCAATAGTAGATGATTGTTATGTTACAGACGTATTTGTAATATGTTGATGATGGCTCCATAACACTAATATAATAAAGGAAGATTGATCCTAAAGGAAAATATCACTATCATGATTGTGAGAAGCTAGCAATAGTCCTACTAGGTGAGAAGATGACTCATAAGATGAGGATCTTGAGCCTTCTTTTACTGGTTGACATTAAACCCTTAAAGAAGGCTAAAATTAACTTCCCTATCTTTGTTTTTTCTATTGATGTGGAGTAGTTGTATACTAGGATGGATCAAGTAGAAACTTATTTTATGTTTTATAGGTTTTCTGTTATGCCTGGACCGGTCCCAGCTGGACCGGTCCGGTTCTACACCCGACGGACCAACGTCGGGCGGAACCAGACGGAACGCGCGGAGCGCGAGTCTTGGGGCCCAAACAGCGGCTAAAACGCATGGGGGAGGGAAAATTTTTGAATGGGAGGCTGTTTTAGGAAGTCCATTATTGTCTTTTATGATTAATTTGTATAATTAGGAGTTTTGGGGGGATTGGCTCCTCATCTTGAATTTGAATGAGAAGTTTGAGATCTCTTGGTGTTCTTGGGCTCTAGGGTTTGCTAGAGACTTGTGGAGAGTTGTTCTTCCTCTCGAATCGAAGAACGTTGTATCTTTCTTTGTTTTGCTTTCATTGCGAGTGAAATACAAGTCATTTCTTGCGTTTTCTCTCAGATTTCCCTGTTTTTCCTGCTGATTTCTGCTGTGGACAGCAGTTTGCTGTTGTATTTTCACTGGTTTGGTTAGGAATACTTGAGAACTCAAGTACTTCCTATCATTTTCATCTTAAGATAGGTTTATTTCACTTGACTCAATTTTATGAGGCGCGCATTAGCATGCATTTGTTTGGCGCAATACCCATCTTCTACATATACACCCAAATATCACTTGGGAGCTGTTCAAGAAGATGCTTCAATAGGCATTTTATCCTATGAGACTTTGATGGAGAAAGATTAAGTGACGAGTTATGCCACTAATAGAACAAATCATGCTGCTTACATGATAGAGTTCAGGAGTCTAGTTTTGATGATTGATGCATCAATGAAGACTTGACCGAGTTGACAAAGGTACATGTCTACTCTGCATCTCCAACGAACTCTTACTATTCCATGTCAAAGATATTGGCGAAGCAAGCATTTTGCCATTATGATTGAGAGAGAGCACGAACAAAGACATTATACCTTTTGACAAGAGGAAATGAGAAATGAAGTTTGGTTGGCATTTTTTTTTAGATTTAAATGAGAATTTGATTCTTAACGGGACACAATGGAAATAAAAGATTCATGTTTTCGACCCCATATAGTGGGATAAAAATTTGATGTTGTTGTAAACAGCCTCTACTATAACACCTGGAACTTAATTTTGAAACTCTTCTTGGAGAAGTTAAAAAGAAGTTCAAAATGGATGACAAAGGGAATAAGGCGATTATATTTTAGAGCTGGCTTAAGCATCATAGTTAGCAAATCAATCGAACCCGATTGTTTACTTGATGAGAATTCTACTGGGGAAAGGTCCGAGTACCAAAACTAGCCCTAACAAACACAAGTTGCTGCTCACCTTACAGATCCAATGAAGCAAGAAAAGACCAATGCCATCTTTGACTTAGTAGTCAAGCGAATTTGATCCTGACATGTATGATCAGAATAATAGGTATCGAGGCAATTCCTTAATGTCGAAGCATTCCAAAGTATTTAGAGATGTGAATAGATCTGGAAAGCAACGCTCACTTTGCCATCACTTGAGAGTGTATTGATGAAGTGTTGTGTGAATGATCCATCTAGAAATATTCCATATTATGTTAGGCAAGTCATACCTATCGGATCGAGATGCTATCTTCTATTGTAGAATTCAACAATACTCTCTACAAAGATGGTTTGAGGTAGACTATCAATAGAAGTAATGTATGTCAGCCTCTAGACATTTTGTCAGTTGGTTAGGTGAAGTGACACGTGCCAGGATTTTACTATGGTTTTTGTTTGTCAGGAGAAGCCTGACATTAATTTTAAGATATTTTCTTGAGATAAATTCAAGAAGAATTGAGAGGGAGAAGCAGGGAGGGGTGTTAGGTTTGGCACTCATGAATTTAAAGCAAGAATATAACATTGGTAGACGATTTCCTAGAGTTTTATGAGAATTGAGATGTCACGACAATCCACAAACACTAAATAGCTATTAACATATTATTCATTTGTTCATGAACACAAGCCATCTTATACCTGTTATCAATCGAGCGCCTTCTTTCGGTCATTTCTACTCTAAATAGCTATTAACATATTATTCATTTGTTATGAATTGAGATGTTATATCATGAAACTTATCTGAGTTTAATGGAGTGAGTTTACAACTCAGTAGGTAATCACCATCTCAGATATAACAGTTAGATATATAAAATAAAACATACATGTTTCTTTGTCTTTTTTTTTTTTTTTACGCAGTTAATATGTGCATCTTCTTTCATATATTATAGATTTTATAATTCATCTTTTACATAAATTACTTATTATTATGTTTCATTTATTAATTTCCATTTAACATTTATTCCATTTTCATTTACATTAGTATAGTAGCATCGTCTTTCTATTTAACGTGCACAGGTAAGTTGTTTCCCCAGCCAGTACTTTATGGGGGTGAACTTCTATAATTTGCATGTATGTACCTTTTCCTTCTTTTAATACTTTCAATTTTGTTTAAATCATCATTTCATTTATTCCATTTTTCTTCAATTTTTTATAATAATATGTAAGGACATTTTATTCATATACATATTCATTAGTAATTCAAATAGTCTCTAATTAGTTACATTACTTAACATTGAAGTATATTAAGTACTTTAGGTGTGTAGAAAATATCTCACGTTTCCATTTCTTTTATTTTTCTCAAATAATTTATTCATACAATGCACATTCAATCAACGTAATGCCATAATCATGCAATAATTGCATTAAATAAAAAGAAATTGAAATAACATTGAAAAAAGTTGGCATTGCTATAATACAATTGAAATTATCCACTTTAATACTTCGGGCTTCAACCCTTGAAATAATCTTCCTTATTACAACCTGAAGTTACACACAATCACATAAAATATTACTATCTTTAACTTCATTATTTTGGCATAAATGTTTCTTTAATGAATTCTTACCTCAAATCTCTTTGTAGATGCTTTATTGGCTTCAACACTTCGCCGACGTGCATAAGATTAATCTTATTCTCTATTGTTCCAATTTATATTAATTGACATTAAATATCATTAATCAACTTTGAAGGAATCCTCAGAGCTCAAAGTAATATTAATAATTGTCAAATCTTAACATGTATCTGTTACTCAATTTATTTAAATCTCCCTTCTTTCTCTTTGAAATGAGGCTTCCACCCACTAGATTTCTTCATGCATGAACTTTCTTCCTGTTGAAAATCAGATACTGTTGCTTTCCATCAAAATAAAAATTTGAATAGGAAAATAAAATAGGAACTCTGAAATTCACTTAAATTTCCTCTGGTTTCCGAGAATTACCAACTCTTTATTTCCAAATTTCTTCCTCTGCATTCAAAAGAGGTATTTATCCCTTTATTAGATTTAACATGGACAAAATTTCACCAAAATGCACATAAAATTTGACAACATAACTTCCTTCTCCTTCTTCCTCCCGGTTGGTCTCTATTCACTTTTTCATTCGATTTGGCTTAACTGGATAAGTGAAATGAAGATATCTCACGTGAGGAGTCGCTCTTTTTCACTCCCGTACTTGTTCCTTTGCTTAAAACCGTGAATCAAACCCTCCAGGAGCGCTCACGCATGAGTTTGGGCCGACAGGCTTCGCTTGTTCTTCGTTTGCGTTCGTGAGACTTTTCATACGAGTTATTAATTAGGGCTGGCCGGTTCAATTGAATCGACCGAATTGGCTCTTACACGAGAGGGTTGACTACATGAAGAGTTGTGGAGCATAATATCAACTTTATCTCAAACTCAACCCTACTCAACATCATAAGTTGTCAATGGCGCAAAATAGCGCGCGCCATGGCGCACGACGCGGCGCGGTGCACCTACGGCACCGTGTTCATGGCGAGGCGAACATGTTTAAAATAGTGCGCGCTATTTGCGCCACATGTGAGCCATGGCGCATGGCGCATGGCGCACGGCGCAAAATAGAGCGCCAAATTATTTTTAAATTTCATTATACTTATGAATATTTTTTACAAGAATTTACAACTTAACAAGTACGATTCTTATTGATTGCTACTTGAAGTGTTTCACTAGCAATCATGATTTAGAGGCGACCACCTCTTAAAATTTAAAAGAATGCTCGGTACTGCTAGGTATCTTTCCATAGAAACGATTTACGAACTTAAAAAATAAGCAGAACTTCAAAATTACTCTTACAAATAAAATTTGTTATGTGGGCGCTGCCCCCGGAAATCCCTGCAAGGGGGCAGCGCCCCCTTGGACCCCCGCCAGCCCGGTATATTGTTGTATTCATCATCTTTAGTTATAGTTGTTAGTATTAGGCTGTTTCTTCATGAGTGCATGCTTTGTATAAGTTTTCTTCATGAGTGCATACTTTGATTGGGAGACATTGGACTCTATAGGAGAGGAGGAAGGGGCGAGGACTTTAAATGTGAATTCTTTTCTCTTGGATAGTTTGTTTTTCATTTTTAATGATATTTCATATTCGTGCTTATTATTTTATAATTCTTATATAGTTTGCGCCATGTTCAAAATGGCGCGCGCCGCGCCGTGCGCTATGTGTCATGGCTCCAAAGGGACCTTTGCGCCATGGTGCGCCATTCGCCGTTAACAGGTATGCTCAACATTTTTATGTAAAAATTTCAGTACTGGGGAATGAAAAGATAAAGAAACAAGTGCATATGTTGCTTGACCAAGGATTTATATTGATAAAGACAAGTAGTTATTATGTGGATCAGTTTGATTACATAAAGGATCAACCTTAAGCTTATATCTTTTTTGGTTTTGGATATTCTTACTAGACATTTGTAAGAGATGTACCCTAGTGTGTGCTTTTTGCTGATGATACTAAATAAATAAATAAATAAAAGAACTCTTCTTGTTGATAAGAATAGAGATGGAGTTGAAGGAAAACTTGAATTATGGAGGTCAACCTTAGATTCTAAAAATTTTCGTTTGAGTAGATCTAAAACCGAATACATGGAGTGTAATTTTAGTAGTAATAGATCTAGTGGGGGGATTGTGACTTTGGGCGATCAATTCATTAACAAGAGTACACATTTTAGATATCTTGGATTTGTTGTTCAAGTAATGGTGAATAGATGGAGATATTATTAGTAGAGTTCAAGTTGAATGATTGAAGTGGAGGATTGAATTAGGCTTGTTGTGTGCTAGAAAAGTACCCCTTGAACTTAAGGGAAAATTTTATAAGATGTTGGTGAGACCTACAATACTTTATGGTGCAGAATGTTGGCCATTAAAATATAAACATAAAATTAAGCTAAGTGTTGCAGAGATGAGAATGCTCAGGTGGATGAGTAGCTCGACTCTTAGAAACAAAATGTAAAATGAGTGCATAGGTAAAAAATGAAAAAATTGAAGTAGCTCCAATGGTAGATAAGATCACAAAAAGTCGTCTTAGATGGTTTGATCATATAAAACATCGGCCTTCTAATGACCTGATTAGGATAGTAAATGTATTAGATCCGGCCTATATTAAGAAAGGTAGATGTAGACCTAAAAAAATTTGGTTAGAAAGTATTAGATATGACATTTTATTGTTAGATTTAAATGTTAATTTGACTCGTTATAGGACACAATGGAGAAATATGATTCATGTAACTGACCCCATTGAGTAGGATAAAGGCTTGATGTTATTGGTGTTGTATTAAATGATGTTATGAGGCCATTTATAGAGGGGTTTGTGATCTCTTATGTCAACAACTTCCTCATCTATAGTCAAATATGTTTGGAATATCTTATATATTTGCAAAAGCTGTTCAGTCTCCTAAAATATAAAAATCTCATCTTGAATTTGGAGAAAGTAGACTTCCAGAAGAAAATCTTATTATATTTGGGTAGGAGACTTCCACTAGAAAATCTTATTATGATTCATGTAGCTGATCCCATTGAGTAGGATAAAGGCTTGATGTTATTGGTGTTGTATTAAATGATGTTATGAGGCCATTTATAGAGTTTGTGATCTCTTATGTCAACAGCTTCCTCATCTATAGTCAAATATGTTTGGAATATCTTATATATTTGCAAAAGCTGTTTAGTCTCCTAAAATATAAATATCTCATCTTGAATTTGGAGAAAGGAGACTTCCAGAAGAAAATCTTATTATATTTGGGCTTTGAAGTTGGTGGCAAAGAGGTTAAGATCGACATGGAAAAGTTAAAATCAATAAGGGATTGCCCTTAGCCACATAATATGACGACGTACAAAACTTTATGTGAGCATGCCAATATGTGAGGATGTTTATCCATAATTTTTTGAGACTCCCAACACATTGACATTTGTTGAAGAAGGCTAACCAAATATTCTCCTCAGAGGACATGTTTCGTCTTTTGAAATCAGAATAAACAAAGGCGCCTATTTCGGTCTTAACAAATGCGCATAAACCATTTGAAGTCGTGGCAGATGCTTCCAAACATCCATTCCATGTGTTTTTGATGCAAGAAGGGAGAAATATTATTTGGAGTCGCCACAAGTTGCTCACAAAAAAAAAATCTATCTGATGTATGATAAAGAATTACTCGTACTTAGCCAATTTGTATCATTGGTGACTTAACAAAGAATAATTTAATTTCCTTAATAGACAGGATATCTAGAAAAAGTTTCATTTGTTCCCTTAGGACTTTCAAATATTGGCCACATAACATTTGTGATTGGATTAAATGATCGTTAGTTAGCTGAGTGGCAATTATGGTGTGAGCCATGTCAAGTAATAAGTCAGATTTAGGTTATAATCCATTCGGAGATCTCGATCTGTAGTTCTTGATTAAAGTAAAGTTTATTAAATTGTTTTTTAACATATTATAAAATTGATTGTCATATGAGAGGTGATTCATGTTGACCTTTAATTAGGCCTAGCTAATGGGACGATTTTTGTTTCTACAAGAATGTCATTTACCTTTCATTGTCTTGATGAATTCAATGACATTGAATGACGGAATTTGATAGAACTGTAGTTTTGTTCATAAGCCAATATGAAAAAAAAAAAAAATTATGCAGTTTGACTTTGGGGAAGTCAATTACAAGTATTTTTACACCAATTTCTAAGTTTGTGATTGTGCGTTCTTGCTAGCTGCAAGGATAGTTTCACCATAGTCTATGGATATGAGCGATGGAATTGATGATTAAAACCTCAAATATGAATCATCATTATATGACTTGCAATGCTTGAAAAAAATCTTAAAGAATAAAAAACTTTCAAGGACAATTTCTTTTTGATACAAAAGAAAAAAAAAAGTTTACTTTGTGATAGTTGTTGATTTTTTTAATTTTAACTAAACTAAATGTTGATGCAATATTTCTTGCAGTAAAATAAGTTTATTCCACTCAAGAAACCAACAATCTTGTTTAGTGGAACATTATAGGAAAAAAAAGTGAGTTCATATTTGAGTTATGTGCTAAAAGTTTTGAGGAAATCATTTTCATAGGTTTGGCCCATTGGCTGAGTACTCTATGTAATAATGAAAAGGGGCCTATGAACTAAACCTCCAAGTCTGCTTTGCTTTCTAGTTATTCATCTTTGCTAGTCCCTCCCATACCTGACCTGTCATTTGAAAATTATTCTGTTTTTTTTTTGAAATTATTTTAGCTATCTTTTTGGTATTGTTTTTTTAGTGGTTTATTTGTTGCTTATAGGCCCAGAGAAATCATCCAAAGAAAAGCCAAAGAAAAAAGCGAGAGAAGGTAGGCAAACATTATTGCCATTTTATATTGCTTTTACTGCATAATCTAACAACATCATGTCTTATGGTTATTAGATTTAGATGATACAGCACGTAAAGGAAAACGGCAGAAAGGAGGGGCTTCAGGTTTTCTTGCACCCGTACCACTTTCGGATGCTCTAACAAAGTTTATTGGCACCGGTGAAAATATATTGCCAAGATCTGATGTTATAAAGAGGTTATGGGATTACATAAAGCAAAATAATCTACAGGTGTTTTCACTTAATCTTTAATCATATTACGGCTCTTTGTTTTTTAGAAATGCTAGTCATAAATAATGTGTTGATTTGATGCTGACAAATCTAAGATTTTAACTGTTATTTAGGCATAAATTTTTTTTTGATCGGACTAAATGGTCAAGGTCAAATCCCCTTGATAGTGATGCAGGATGTCTTAGGGACTAGGATGTATAATGCATCAAGATAATATAATGCAATGGATGCGCATAACACAAAAAACTAAGGATGTGCAGATTAAAAATAAACAATTATACACAAAAATCATTTTCTTTAGGTGTAATATCCAAAGAAAAATTTAGACAAAATCTCAACCTCAACAAATATCAATATTCATCTCACATGTTCCTCCAATATTTGTCATACTTTGCTTTCATTTTCTTAGCCATTGCACTTAAGATTGGATTAACACTTGACCAATCACATAGGAGCAATTGAATATCACTAATCTTAAAAAAAAAGTAATTACATGCAGCATATCTTTAGCCAGTGCATTTAAGATTGGGTCAATACTTCTTAGCCAATAACTTAAGTGCAATGAATGTCATTAATCTTAAAGAAAAAAGGAATTCCATGCACAGATCTCAACCAGAAAAGCAAGTATTGGCACATAGAAAGCACAAAATTCACACACACACACCTGCACCATCACATTCCCATTCATTTGGCTTTCCTTTTTTCTGTTTTTTCCTTGCAAGTTAAAAAATATTCAATCTTCTCAGATTCTTTTTGAAACTTTAAGGTCGGTTATAGCATAAAACACTCATACATCCATTAAAAAACAACTTTTACTTTCATTCTTTTCTAGGATAATATGTTTTTGTATGTAATTATTTACTAGGAGATCTAACGATTTCTTTGACATTTCAAATTTGAATAATAGAATCATTCATTTTGCTCAACTCATCACATAACAAGAAGTTTGAAAATGTGCGCGCAACATCACACAAATTCACCATTCAACGTTGAAAGTTTGTTAAGGATGTTAAGCCCTTATGAAATGGCCCAAGGCTAATAATGAGATAGAGAGGTGAATCAATATTTAAAACAAAACTCAAACTTAAAACCAAAAACAAGATTCACCAAAATCAAAACCAACGATGCGGAAATTAAAAGTGCGAAAGTAATAAAGAAAGAACACACCGGATTTATAGTGGTTCGGTCAAACCTTGACCTACGTCCACTCCTTGGAGGCACCCTCAACATTGCACTAAAACAAGTTCTCTCTTTAGCCCCCACAGCTAGGCGAGAGAACCCTTACAAAATCACTTCCACTTTCCCGCGTGCGGCGGAGTCGCCGGGTCATTTGACCCAAAGGATCTTCTTCTTTGATGAACTTCCCTCGAGACAAGCCTTGAATCAACGGTATTAAGATGCCAGCCTGCCGGAGCAACGTGTGGAATCCCCTCCACACATCCCTTGAGTTCCCCCTCACAGGATCTTCTCCTCTCTCAGACTTAGCCAGTTTCCTCACTCGCTTTCAAGCTTTCTCTTCAGTTTCTCCTCCACAAGAATGAAAACTAATCAATGACTGCAAGACACTTAACAAGTGCCTTGACAAAGCTTAATATAAGTGAGCTCAAAACGAGTCATTAATGCCAAGTTGCGACATTAATGTCAGGACATAGGCATATCGTCCTGTACGAATCAGTACTTTAGGCCCAATCAGCGGGACATTTGAGACGATTCAGAGAAGTTTTGTTCATATCGGTCCCAGGACAGATAACGATATCGTCCTGGACGATCCATAAAATCGTGGAAGTCGTCCTGACATCGCCCTGAAAACAGCTATCCGGTGTCCAATCGATCCAGCACATCGGCCAGAGAGTTGGCTATCGTCCAGCCGCTTTGATTCGCTGAATCAAAATCATAATTGCTTTCCTAATCCAGAGAAACATGGAAAAATTGACCTGGATCGTCCTGACGATATTTTATAGTCCTGGACGATCCACCTGACGATTGTCCAAAATATGTATTTCTACATTAGATTTGACGGCAGATTCTTCTGAATTTGAGGCCTATCTCCCTGGCCGATACAAAATCGTCCCAGGAACGATGTGTTTTGCATTAATGAACGGCCGTTTATGAGGATGCCTATTAGGGTTTCCTGCTTGTGGGACAGATTGTCCGGACGATGTTACCAAAAATACGAAATCTTTAGGGAGCAACAGAAATCTTCCAACGTTACAAAACATCAAGGAGCCACACCAAATTACAATAGACTCAAGAAAGAAAAAAGTATACAAACTGACTCAGACCTAGTCTACCCAATCTTGAGCTAGTTCTAAATTGCAGTCTGATCGTGTGGACCTGAAGTGCTAGTAAATAAGGCCGTCGTAGAGAAATAATAGTGTTTGCTATCAAAATCATAAACCATGAAAACAGATCCGCAACAAACGTACTACCTTTCTAATCATTTATTCTTCTTGCTTAGTAGCCAAATGCAACATCATTAGAACCAGCTTTAGTGACGGTAGTGGTAAAAATCTTCTCTAAGTTCCATTCAAGCAAGCTTTTTGCAATGGTCATCCTTCGAGCTTTGTTCTACAAACTCATTATCATACTTGATTGGTGTGGAGGCTCGAGAGGCTTTGGACTTCCATTACCATCATCATGCAACACTTCTTTTGTTTGCTTTCAGCTGCCCCTGATTTTGTGGTTACTATTTCTTGTATTTGACATCTGAAGCTAAATAAAGAATATTTATCTTACACCCACTAACATACCCACTAACATCATGGAGTGTCAAAACGTAAATTGAATTTCAAAATACAAAACTGAATATCAAAACACAATGATATAAATGTGAATCCTACAGAGAATGAAGCAATGGATTTAATGCCATCATTTTGATGGAGAGAAAAATTTCAAAATAGTTTCAAAACTATTCATGTGTGACCAATTGGGTCTCAAAGTATTACGTTGCTCTAATTTATTCTCTTAGCTATACAAAATTGATAAAAAATTATCTCATGATGTAATTGTGATATAAAATTTATCTTAATTTAATCTCTTTGTTCTTCACATGTAAAAGCTTGAAAAATTCGAAAAGTTATAAAATGCTATTATGGAGTCGAAGAAGTAATATCCGATTCAAAGAATTTAACTTTTAATTATTTATATTATAGATTATATATTAGGAGGGAGAAATATTTATGTATAAGTTGGTCAAGCATAGAGATAGGGAAAAGTGCAAATTTAGTTCAAGTGAAGTTCATTAAGGATGAAAATTAAAAAGTGTTTTTATTAGAAGAGGATATTCAACAAATGTGGATGATATATTTTGTCACGACCCGGCCCGGCTAACCCATTTATAACGGGGCGGGAATATAGACGGTCATTCGGAAGAGCATAAAAACATAATACTTTCATTTAAAACTTAAAGATCAGAACATAAATATCATCCCAAAAATACATGAAAGAGCCACTAATAAAACATCAAACTGTTATGTTTCAAACTGATCAACTGTCTCACAACTACTAAAAAAAAACTTTTTAAACATCAATTACATTACACAAGCTCTCACCATTACATAAACTTCAAACTCACGAACTACAGAAACAAACTCAAAGACTCAAACTTAAAACATAAAATGGAACCTTTCATCCTGAGGTCCCTTACGACGATACGTGTACGGTCGTCGTGCAGCCATCACTTATCTCCTGAAAAATATTTCAAAAAATAGGAATAAGCCAACGCTCAGCAGGTGAAAAACATTTATCTCAAATTTATAAAATATTTTCTTTTATCTTTCTTAAACATGTCATTAAGCATGAAATAGTAAAAGAACAATATAAACATTGATGCTCGAATGTATAAAACAATTTCAATAATCATTCTTTAAACATTTTCCTTATTCCATATCATTCTTTACTTTCTTTTCCATAAACATTTCATATTTCCTTAAATACGTAACTTTCATAGTCATAAAATATAAATCACCCGTCCCGGAAGTGCCTGATTTTGTGCAGATCAGGTACACAGTCAATTGTTTGGCCATTTCCTTTACAATTGGCTCTACGAGCCACCTTTACCATTGGCTCTACAAGCCACATTTATCATTGTTAATACTTCTGGATCAACATGCACATGCACTTTAATATAATACTTTCATCAAAGGGGTTTGAAAATTTATCATTGCCTCACATGATTTTCATTAATTGATCTGTTAAAAGAAAACTTGTCTTTCTTATGTCTTAATTCATTTACTTAATTTGCATAAATTTAAATAACATAACATGTCATGTGTGAAGACAAATACTGAAAAGCTAAAAGCCATAATAAATGATTTAAAAACATAAATTGTAACATTTATTAAATGTGCAGAAATATTTGATTAAATTTTTTTTATAAATTCAATTTAAATGCAAATCACCTACCTTGCAAGCAGTGAATAAATACCACAACGTTGTACGACGCCGTCAACCACTTGCCTTCACCTTAATCCACACCTAAAAGATATTTACAATCTAACTAAGCATACATCGTGATCATAACCAATAATTAACATAATTTATTTTTATTTTCGGAATTAATAAAATGCCTAAATTTTGGAAACCCTAAATTCTTAAATTCCCTCAAATCAATATGCCAAAAAATTTCCTTAAACCTAATTTAATAATTTTCTTAATAATTTTCGGATTTCTTTAATTAAAAAATTAAAGAAAATGCAAATCTTTACGAAAACTCAAAATTTTGATTTAGAAACATTCCTAAGACCCATAAAAATCACTTTTGTAAAAGCACCTTAAGAAATTTGGTTTTGCGTAAAAAGCTCTAATTTTTCTATCTCCAAAAATTCCTCAAATATATATGTTTTTATAGTTAAAATGTCTTCCTAATTGCTCCTTATTAATATCTTAAAGAAAATTAGGAGAAAACACTTTCTAGCAAAAACCCTAAGATTTTCTTTTCAAAAAATATAGAGATCTAGAAGGTTTCGTTCTGAAATAATTGTACCTGAGTGTTCCTCTCG